CGAATAACAGAAATGTGGGTAAAGGGAGACAATGGACAGTGTAAGATACGAAATATTAATAACAACCATATATAATTGATCAAGGATTCACAAGGGTAGAAGGTGGGGGAGAGAGGGAGGGGAAAAAAGAGGCGCTTATACCAAGGGCTCAAGAAGAAAATGTTTTGGAAATGATGACAGCAACATATGTACAAATACGCTTGATACAACTGAAGTATGGAATGTTATAAGGGCTATTAGAGCCCCCAATAAGATGATTAAAAAAAAAGAAAAAGATTTTCTGCTTGTTGTTGTTAAGTGCCATCAAGTCTGACCCATAGTGACCTCATGCACAAAGGAACAAAACACTATCTGGTCACGTGTCATTGTCACAATTGTTTCTATGCTTGAGCCCATGGTTACAGTCACTGTGTCAATCCATGCGGGCATTCCTCTTTACTTGACGAAGCATGGGGTCCTTCTCCAGGGATTGGTCTTTCCTGACAACATGTCCAAAGTATATACGATGAAGTGTCACCATCCTTGCCTCTAAAGAGCATTATCGCTTACTTCTTTCAAGGCAAATTTGTTTGCTCTTTTGGGAGTCCATGATACTTTCAGTATTCTTCACCAGCACCACAATTCAAGCACATTGCTTTTCTTTGGTCTTCCTATTCAATGTCCAACTTTCACATGCATAAGGCAATTGGAAATACCCTGGATTGGGTCAGCAGCATTTTAATTTCCAAAGTAACATCCTTGCTTTTCAACATTCTAAAGAAGTCTTGTGAAGCAGATTTATCTTTTGATCTCTTTAATGATGCTTTCATAAGCACTGTGGATCCAATCAAGATGAAATCCTTGGAAACGTCAATCTTTCCTCCATTTATTGTGATGTTATTTCTGGTCCAGTTGTGAATATTTTAGTCTTTTTTATCTTGAGTTGTAACCCATACTGAAGGGCTCAATTCATGATCTTCATCTTTATCAGCAAGTCCTTCAAGTCCTCCTCAATTTCCGTAAGCAAGGTTGTGTCATCTGCATATCTCAAGTTGTTAATCAGCCTTCCTCCAATCGTAATGCCAAATTCTTCATATAAACCAGCTTCTCTGACTATTTGCTTAGCATACAAATTGAATCAGTATGGTGAGAGGATATAACTCTGACACATAATTCCTGATTTTAAACCATGCAGTATGTTGTATTTAGTGTTTGCTGTCAATTCCGACTCATGAAATCCTCCTGTGTACAGAGTAGAACTGCTTCATTAGGTGTTCAAGGTTGTGGCCACTTGGAAGCAAATCACCGGGCTTCAGTAGGTCTGAACCACCAACCCTTTGGTTAGTGGCCAAGTGCTTAACTATTTGTTTCATCCAGTAATTGGTTATCCTATGATCTATCTGCTCACCACAATTAACCGGAGTTACTATTCTAAACGCAAATTTTATCCTATGTCCTTTCTTCCTCCTTCCCCTTAAATTACTCCTATCATCACATTTTAGAGTCCAGTGGCTGATGTGGCTTAGGATAATTAGTAATACTGCCTCATCCTATATCTGCTCCTCTCCTTAATTCCTGGTAATTTAGCTCGCTCTCAACCAGCTGTTTGTTTGCTCCTACTACTTCCTGGACAGAGAATACTCCACTTCCCTCATCCCCCAGTTTAATGCCGCAGTCCTCATTTTAAACATCAATTCTTGAAGGACCTAATTATCGACAATTCTGAAAGTGAGATAAGATCTTGTAGCAATGCAGATATCTGCTCTGTTGGCACCCATCACCTCTGAAATTCTGTATCTAAACATGTGACTAACTCCTCCCTCAGGAAACGGAATACTTCTCTGAGAAAAGGAGCCACGTCTACTTTTTGCTCATCACTGTATTCATGCACGTGGCATAATGCTAGATACATACAACATGCTCAGTAAATATTTACAAAATAAGCATATGAATAAATAAGACAACTGTTATGATTATTACCCCCAGTGAATGTCACATGCCATTCTACAATGCCAAATTATCAAGTGCCTTGAAAATAATGAACTTAATAACAAATAAACATGGCAAAATAATGTTTGTTCTTATAATTTCAATAACAGTCAAAATTTCAAATATTTCTATATAGCAAACTCTACCAAAATACTATTTTATTTAATATTTAAATAAAATTTAGCCGAATAAATTTTTATAAGTATGACTTTCATTTATAGTTTAAGTGATCCTCTGATCCTCTGGCGTTATAATGCTTTATTAAACGCAAACAAACTCATCACCAACAAGTTGAAGCCAACCTTATTATAAAAGGAATATTTTTTCACCTACAACTTAAAAAAATATCTTAAAACTATAAAAATTCAATACTTTTAAAAATGCCTTAGAAACATAGTACTTAGACATTTAAGCAGATTAAGTGGGAGCCCTTAAAAAAATTAGAGATGCAAATGTCACTGGAGCCCAAGGGCAAAGCATTGATTAACTCAGCTGAGTTACCTAACTATCTGCTGGCTACATAATAGATGGGGCTAATACAAGTGTAACTGTTAAAATGGAAATTAAAAGTGAAAATTAAAGTAAAATTCAAGGGTTCTAAAAAAGGAGGGACAGTATTTTGTATACATGCTTTTTGATATGTATAATACTTCACAAATCAAACATCTTAGTATAAAATTAACAGTTACCTCATGAATGTGCATTTGCTATCAGGGCTATCAGTAACTTCAGGAATGCAAGGAAATGAGGATACATTCAGAAGTGAGGATACATTCAGTGACATATGAGACACACTGTGTATGTTTTAGAAGACGCACAATTGGTATAAAAGGGGTTTTTGTGTTTTCGTCTGTCTCCAGCTTGACTTCAGAATGCTCAGCTGGCATCTGTGTAAAGGTGAGAGAGCTGCAGGCCTGCTGCAGGCAGGCTCGTTGAAGTATCTGCGGTGTGTGAAAGGAAGGGCAGGAAGTAGGAGTTCTGCTTTACATCATAACTACGTCTGGACGACGGGACTCTGGGGGATCAACATTGCAGCGGGCGGGAAGGTAAAGAGTGTGCAAGGGGCGCTGTCAAAAGTCCGTGGAGAAACAGAACGAAAGGATCACAGACTTTCCCTCGGAACTTCTTGACGCCCACTCATCGAGCACATAGAAAGCTAGATATAATTCACTCTCGTGACTCTGTCAATGCACTTAATTTATTCAGAAGCTTGAATAAAAAAATCTGCAGATACACGGAGCCTATAACTGGCACTCCTGACAGGCAACTGAAACATCCCTACTGTGAAATCTTTCAAGCTTTTTGACAACAAAATCTATTCTTACAGCAATTATAGTATTTCTGACTCAAAATACTTCCATTTCAGTGTATTCTGTGTTTCCGCTATGGGAGTCTTTAACAGCTAGGGAGTTCAAGTCTGTAACAAACCTGTGAGACTCCAAAGCTTTTAGTAATGCAAAGAGGTAAAAATACTTAGTATAGGTAAAGGCTGAGTTTTAAAAATGGCTTTGCTGTATGGATTTAAACATAAACACATTCAAATACATTCTATTTTGATATTTTAATCATGCATATATTAAAATTGTAGACATATCCCATCTTAACAGAAACAATGACTTCAATACTACTGAATATTTAATTCACACATACTTTAAATTTAGTCAATATAAGAATACTTCTGTTAATGTTTAATAAAAATACTTGCATTATGTAAGTTAAAAGTTTTAGCTTCTCTAGGAAAAGAAATCAATCTAACACTTTAAAAATCATTTAATTTCACCACAATATAAGTGATTTCAGAATAAGATAAACCATGCCAGAAGATGTCCAGAAACAACAACTAGACCACCACACATTTTACTGAAATTATCCCAAAATTGTAAGTGTAACAATATACTCTTTCATACTGTTTTAAAATATATTTTAGGATGATCTGTTTGTTGGTAGGGACAAGCTGAAGTTTGTACAAAGATCTAAACTAAATATGACTTACTTGTTTACCTGATGTCATACTAAGAAAAACAAAATCTGCTATTACTCCTACCTTGGCAAAAAATACGGTGAGGTGAGTTTCACTGCCCACAATCCAAATAGGGTATTTTGGAGATTTCAAGTAAGAACCAACCTAGAATAAATGTAGCACAATAACAGAAATGAAAAAATATATACTGCCCCTCAAGTCTTTGTCTACAAATACTTGAAAAGTATCTGAAAAGGTCAATTCATATTTAAATAGAATACAATATTGTGGCTATCACAGTGACTTATATATTTCATTAGCTTTCTTTCACCTGCAGTGCCTTATCCAGAGAATTCAAATGTTCAAAGTAAAATGGATGCTATAGACCAACATGAAGTGTTAAGCTTCTATCAGCACAACAATATAGATTTAACACAGCGAGAAATAATTAAGTTATCCCTAAGATATACTCTCAAATTTTGCTCAATTCCTAGATGGAGTAACCTGACCACTCTACATTTTCAGCATCATACTTAAAACGCTTAAACTTAATGATAATCACTTTATATAGAGAATAATTATAAAACAAATGAATACATTTATTTTAAAAAATAAAGGGAAAAGTGTTAAGAGACTTCCTGTCCTTTCATCATTGCACTATTCATCATAGCAAAAAGATAACTGCCATCTAAATGTCCAACAACTTATACACACAGATGGAGGTATACACAAAGTCTGCTAACACAATGGAATACTGTGCTACATTTTAAAGAACAGTCATGGATTTGTGAAATAATGTATAACATGGGTGAGCTGGGAGAACATGATGCTGAATGAAATTAGTCAGCCATCAATGGTCTGTCTGTCTTTGACAGTTCCCTGGGGTGGGAAGGGAACTAAACTCATTGCTATTGAGTTGATCCTATAGTGAGCCTACGAGAGGGTAGAACTCCCTGTGGGTTTCTGATACTTTACCTCTTCATGAAAATAGAAAAACTGTCATTCTTACAGATTACTTTTGTTCAGGCTTAGGTAAACTTTTTTCTAAAACCATTTTTCAAATTAATATTTTGACTTTGTGGCTTTTTTACATAAATTTTTATAATCTTCAATAGCAAGTTTTGCAAATACAAACTATGTCTTACAACCTTACAGTATACATTTTGAAGTGGTTTTTAATGAAAGTGAAGGTCAAACAGAGTGTAATTGTTGTGGCCATATTTGCCTTTGACAAAGAAGAGACTGTGAAAACCCAGTAAACTTGCAAGCAATTGGTTATGCCATGATAAATGTGAAATGGAGTGATGATTGCTAAACTGTGGAAACTGAAAGTGATAGCCTTTTCCCCCCAACACAGTATAGCAATCTTAAGTATATAATTTATGTGACCTATAGGTTTTTATGAAGCACTATTTCCCATATATTGTTAGCAAAACAATTCTGTAGTCCAGGTGTATATATGAAAATATTTTTAAGTTGAGTAAAGCATAAACAAGATGTATCTATATCCTGTATTTTCATGACTACACTAGATTGGGTATTTTGTTTTTGTTTCATGTCATATTTTTGTCAATACAATTTTTGTACTCACATTTTGTACTGTTACCAGTGTAATGCCAAACTACATAATCATTGGTATATTTTGTAAATATTGTACAATTAGAACGTTTTAATGGCTTGAATTACTATTAATTTACATATAACTTGATTAGCTGATCACAAGAATTATTTCACCATTAAATCCTTAAATATAGATATATTTTTGTTAGTGACCCACCTTGGAGTTTTGGTCTTAAAAAAAAAAAGAATAGGTCCATACAAATAAGTATGTATGAATGTGTACATATGTACATATATATGTGCATGTATGTATTATGTATGTTTGACAGAAGATATTTATACATAGGTCTGAGAGGGCTTTAAAGTTGGTGGGAAAATGGAAGTGACAGAATGTAATTTCTCCATAAACTGTTTGATGCCTTTTTATATTTATATATGCTGCAAATATATCCATGAATATAGTAGAGACTATAGGAGCAGGGTTATGAAAACTTCTTAGACAAAACCGAACACCGTGAGGGGAGTGGCTTCTGGGCCTGGGGACTCAGGACCACAGTCTTGGGGATCACGAAGACCAATTATCACAACATAGTTCACACACACAAAAAGTTCTACATTCCACTTGGTGAGTAGCCATGTAAGATACAACTACCATGTCTCCTTGTCTGAAGCGAAAAAGAGTGAAGAAAATCAAAGATGCATGTAAATGAAGGGACCACGACATCAGAAAAACTGATGGCACACAGCTACCATTGCCATCAGTTCTGAAAAGGGAATCCCATTCTAATTCCTGGATGGAGTAGGTGAAAAACATGGAACAAACTTAAAACCACTAAAGCCAAAAACAACAACAAAACACAAGTTTACTGGCCATAAAGAGACTGGTGGAGCCCCTGGAGATGCTGGCTTTTAGTCCCTCTTCAGGCCTGGAACTGAATGTGCCTCAGTGGCCTACAGTGTGAACAAAAACCCAAGGGAGGCACACGCTCCTTACAACAATCAACTATTAGAGACCCAAAGGGCAACATCTACCCAAGGACAAAGCTCAGGAGGCAAGAAGGAGTAGGTAAGAAAGGAACAGAAGAGAGAAAAACAAAGCAAAAGTGATGATGCTACACTGTGCGGATTACGATCAATCCCCACAATGTGATACATGAAAGAAAATGCACATAAATTATTGAATCAGAAAGCCATCCACTCTGGAAAGATTCATCAATTCATAACAATAAGCTTTTTAAAAAAGGATACTATCCTTGGCCCCAAGGCATCCAGGGTAAGATAATCATTATGCTTAGAAAAATAAATAATTCAAAACATTTGAGAGTAAAAAAAAATTGTCATCTAAGCTTTGATGCTTGGCAGTAAAGTCTAGAATTTACAATATGAACAGTCTCTTTAAAATATATAAATATATATACCTAATCAATAAACTTAGCAGTATTAAAAACTTGAAAGCAGTACTTTGTGGGACAGAATAACTTAATATTCAACCCATAAAACAGACTTGTGAGATCCAAACAAGTTCATATTTATCATTATCACTTGTATTAAAGCAGAAACCTTACCATAAAAACAACCATATCATATGTGGTGAATTTACTTTATTTAATACAAACTACACATAATTGAAGAAACCCTGGTGGCATAGTGGTAACATGTTGGGCTGCCGACTACAAGGTCAGCAGTTTGATACCACTAGCAGTTCTGCTGGGGAAAGACAGGGCTTTCCACTCCCATGGAGAGTCACAGTCTTGGAAACTTACAGGTCCGGTTCTACTTTGTCCGACAGGGGACAGGGTCGCTTAGAGTGGTAGTGGCAGTGGCACCCTGTGGCAGTGAATTTACTCATAATTGACAAATTCCTCTTACTTGAGCAGACAGGCTCAATTACTGTTTCTTAATCAGCTCCAGCCCAGCTATAATGTCCCCATTTCTAACACTACCCTGCACAATTTATTCTTAATAACAAAGTAGGAAATAGGTACTTATTCATAATGTTTTAAACATTAAAAACAAACAAGCAAACCTCTAGTATCTTTGTCCTATGAAGAGAGGGATGAGCCGGATGAGTTAACCTGGCAGTGATGATTTAAAGTCGTTCCGGCCCAGTGAGTGGAGAATTTAAAAGATAACAAAGAAAAGGGAGGGATTCTGACACAGCTTCCACGTCGAAGGGATTTTAGAAGTAAACAGGGAAATTCTTCCCGTTTCTACATAAGGGAACTGAGGAGACAGGGTCAAAGCCCTTTTAAATTCAGGCAGCTCATTTAATACAGAGCTCAGTAAGAATGCAGATTTTCTGACTCTTTATATAGTAGCTTTTCGTTACCTTGTGCTGCTGGCAGTGAATAGTGCAGATATTAATTTCTCTTTTAGGAAAAGCTGTGCTTATACATGAGTGTGTGTTCATTTGCATGATATGATCTCATCTGCATGCATATCTACTTAAAATAAACAGAAGGACAAAAAGAGGATAAGTTTATGCAAAGAAGGATCAAAGAGCAAATGAAAGATGAATTTATAATAAAGATTAATGGATAAAATGGGGTGAACAAATGGTACAGCTGCTTTGGAAAACTGTTTGGCAGATTCCTCAAAAAGTTAAATACAGAATTAAGGATGATACCACCACCACCACAATTCTACTCCTAGGTAATTGTCTAAAAACAAAAATAAACAAATGTTCACAAAAATCTTGTACATGAGTATTTATAGCAGCATTACTCATAACAATAAACAAGTCAACTGTCTATCAATGGAAGAACAGATAAACAAAAACAAAACAAAACAAAACAAAGAACAGATAAACAAAATCGATCCAGCTATGCAATAGAATATTATTTGGCCATAAGGAAAAGTGAAGTACTGATAAGAGTTACAACAAAAATGAAAATGGAAAATATTATGCTAAGTGAAAAAAAGCCAGATAAGGCCATTTAATGTATAATTGCATTTAGATAAAATATATGTAACAAGTAAACACATAGTGATAAAAGTTGATTAGTGTTTGCCAGGGGGTTAAGTGACTGCTAATAAGTTTAAGACTTCTCTGTGAATTGATGAAAACATTCTGGAATTAAAGAGAGGTGATGGTTATACAATCTTGTGAATAGACTAAAAAAAAACCCAAAGCAATGAACTGCATACTTAAAAATGTCAAGTTTAATGGGATGAGGGAATTAAATGTCCATTTTGAAAAAAGAGTACATCATCTAAAGTATTCAGAGACAACTTATTGTATGTAATAAAGAGAAAGAAAGAAGTCAGAGAAGAAAGGGGAAAGGAAGAAAAAGGAAGAGGAGTGGGGAGTAAGTGCAGTATCGAATGTTGTGTTAATGTATCCAAAAAGAAATTCACAGCTTTTACTCTTCCTTTTATAACTCTATTACTACACTTGGACAAGTTGATTTCCAAAAACACTTTGGAATAAATATATGAAGGCATAATGTTACCAAACTTCATGGTCCAATATTCACAAGTTTTGAGGCAAAAGTTAAGCAAACAGAAAATGAATTACATGGAAAAAGATTTCACCAAAATCAATTTAACTTTAATATCTGTACAACCAACCAGCATTTGCCAAACCAACTGATCAAGTTGTAAACGTATGAACACTATATCTAAAATTTGGTAACAAATTATAGTGTCAAGGATTCAACTTACATGATGGAAAACACAGAGTTTTCTGATGAGAACAACTCACTACACAAGCAGCTGGGTGAACACACACACACACACACACTGGCATGTACACGTTCCACTTTACCTTCCTGGGGACTTTCTAAACGTAGTGATTTTGTGCATTTAACTGGCACCACAGGAAGTTCTTGAAAGTCTGGTCTCCCATTCACCGCTGAGTCATGATAGCGAATGCATGTGTGTTAGAAACAAAGTGTGCATTCAGTCCTGTGGCAGGTAGATTTTCTGTCAACATCCACCTGGGTGAAAGTGTAGGAGGTTTATCAATAAGGTCACAGTCAGATGAAGCCGCTTTGGGGGTGTGGCCTTTTTCTAGGAGAGACACTGGGCACTTCTCTTCTTCCTCTTGCCCTTTGCCTCGTGTCCTTCACCTTTTTCCTTGCTAGGACTATGTGTCTGTCACCCCATGTAGGTCACTGACCTGGAGAACTGTCTCCACCGACCCACAATACACATGACCCAGCAGCTTATCTTATCCCTGCTTTCAGTGCCAGCAGCCTGCAGCTTGAAGTTTGAGTTTGAAGAGGGCCCCAGCTAACATCAGACCCATGGACTTCAGCTGGCCTGGGCAGAGATGTCTTTTAATATAAAATTATGTTTTGATGTAAAGTTCTTTCTTATACATATATGAGTGTCATGGGTTTTGTTTCACTAGACAACCCAGCCTAACACAGTACCATTTGTCAAAATACAATGGAATTCTGTTTTTTTTAATCAGCTATTGTGTGAGGCTTTTTTTGTGGGAAACTGGTAAAATAAGCTCTACATATTAAGTAGCTCAGCTCCATATAAATGAACATTTGAAATGTATTGTACTCTTTCTTAGGCAATAAGCTGTATTTAGTATCAAAGATGATAACATGTTTTGTAAACTATATATACATTTTAAAAAATTTAACCCCATGTTCAATGTTTAATCACCGATGTGAGAAAATATTCCAGTAGTCCAACTTTTATTAGGTATCACTAAGCATATCAATAAATGCATGGGAACACAAACTAACACATACTTTTAAATACATACATATACAACTTTCAGATTCAAGTTACATGAAATCTTCAAAATTTTTATAAAATTAAAATAAGTCACACAGATTTTTACAAAAGAACAAGGGAGGGTGTTGTTTATATCTCCATGGGAAAGGGAGAGAGAGACCAGACTTCAAACCGGAGCATGAATAGAGAGCTCTGTGGGGCTGGCCCCCAATCCCAACTATGTGGGTTCCCCCTACCCCCAACCCCAGAGGAATGCACTTCAGAGGACAGCACTGAAGCTGCAGCACAGGAAGTGGGGCATGCCTGATGAGGCACAAATGAAGAGGGAAGGAGGGGGTGGAACACACCCTGGCCACCAAGCCCTGAGGACAGTATTCCGGTTCAGAGCAGCCAATGCACAGAGAGGATCACAGGGCAGGCCCGAGACACGCCGATACCCCTCAATGACACTTAGCGCAAAGGGAGACAGCACTGGGGACATGGTGTAGGAGATGTGCCAGATCTGACCCCACCGCACCGGGGTAAAACCCTAGGGTGTACAGCAGAGCAGCGAGGGGAGAAAAGCAACAAAGTCCCTGAGGTGGATTTGGGATTTGGGGGTCAGGGCGTGGCACCCCAGGACTGGACTGCAAAACACCTATAAAAGTCAACGGACAGACCTGGAACTGTTTGAGAGCTTTTCAATTTTTGTTGTTTTTTTCGGGGGGATTTGTGTTTTCTTTTGTTGTATTAGCTGTTGTTATTTTTTTGTCTTCTTTTTTTGTTGTTTTGATTTGGATGCATATTATTATCTATGCATGTCTATCTGGAAAAGGTAGGTGGATGGGCAATCCAGAGGAGAGAACAATGGGACCGATGGTTCTGGGGGATACGGGAGAGGGAGAGACGGGGGAAAGGAGGGGGCTTCCAACAAACCCAGGGACAAGCGAATAAGTGATCTAAAATTGATGGTAAGGAGGACAGAGGATGCTTGGGTCGGGGGGTAGGGGTGGCCTTGATCAAAGGCAATTTAGGCGAGAGGGATTACCAAAACCCAATGAAGGCCAAACTTGAGAGTGGGACGGGAGGAAAGTCACAGGAAATAGAGGAAAGAACTGGGAGGCAAAGGACATTCACAGAGGTCTAAATACAGGCACGTATATATGTAAATACATTTATATATAATAACAGTAGAATAGATCTGTGTACATATACTTATCTATAAAGTATTACAACAGAAGATGGACATTGGACCTCCACTCAAGTAATCCTTCAATGCAAGAACAATTTGTTCTACTAACATGGCATTCACCTTCCTTGACACGATTGCTGAAGACAAAATGGAGGGTGCATAAGCAAATGTTGTGGAGAAAGCTGATGGTACCTGGCTATCAAAAGATACAGCATCTGGGGTCTTAAGGCTTGAAGATAAACAAGTGGCCATCTAGCTCAGAAGCAACAAAGCCCACATGGAAGAAGCACACCAGCCTGTGTGATTATGAGGTGTCCATGGGATTAGGTATCAGGTATCAAAGACCCAAAACAAAACAAACAAACAAAATGCATATCAATGGGAAGGGGAGGGCAGAGGGGAGACCCAAAGGCAATGAGAAGTCAATTGAACATCCCCTGTCAGAAGGGCCACAAGGAAGAGAAGAGAGCCAGTCAGGGTGCAATATAGTACTGACGAAACACACAATCTTTCTTTATTTCTTTAATGCTTCCTCCTCACCTACTACCATGACCCCAATTCTATCTTACAGATCTGGCCAGACCAGAACATGTATAGTCTGGTACAGACAAGAGCTTGCAATACATGGAATCCAGAATAGAAAAATCCCTCAGGACCAATAAGGGGAGGCGGGGGGCAGTAAGGGGGAACCAATCACATAATCGACATATGGTCACCTCCCAGGGGGACAGACAGCAGAATAGTGGGTGAAATGAGACAATGCTCAGTGTAATTTATGGGGGAAAAAAAGAATATAAATTATCACGGGGACGTGGGGGAGGGAGGGGAAGGGTGAAATGAGGAGCTGATGCCAGGGGCTCAAGTAGAAAGAAAATGTTTTGAAAAAGATGACGACAACAAATGTACAACTGTGCTTGACATAATGGATACTTGTACAGATTGTGATAAGAGCTGTAAGAGCCCCCAATAATAAGAAAAAAAATAACCAATTTATTCAAGCAAATAGCAAAAACCATTCCTAAGCAGCATCTTTAAGCTCATTAAATTTCAACTAGAACAAATAATGCATAGTTATTTATAACACATACTTCAATAGGAATTATAATATGAAAGTGTGACTTGAATAGCAAGGGAATATATGTGTTTCCTTATTTATGAGGACGAGACTAGAGAAGTACCATGTTTTTTGTACATAATGCACACAAAGAAATAATGTACACATGCACAGAACCTGCTTAGTGTGCAGAGAAAAGTAATGTGTGAGAGCGTCATGCAACTGAAAACCATACAATACATTTTTTAATTCTTGGTACAGAAAAACTGAGAAGTTTCAAGTGTGGAATGATACACTCCAAATCCTTACTTACCATCTGAGTTATAATAATGATGCATAATCTAAATATTTAATTTCCACATGGCATCTTTTTTTTCTCAGGATATGCAAATGATTGTGTGTGTGTGTGTGTGTGTGTGTGTGTGTGTGTGTTGAGGTGGTGGGCACAGTTTGATTATTTGGCTGCCGAGCTACTTCACAATAGCTGTCAAAACCAAACTCATTGCCATTGAGTCTATTTCAACCCATACCAACCCAGTAGGACAGAATAGAACTGGGTTTTCTGAGGCTTTAAATCTTTACAGGGGTAGAAAGTCTCATCTTTCTCCACGGAATAGCTGTAGTACATATGTTAAAGTCACTGAAAGCTAAAAAGTCATCACTGTTGAAGAATATTCCCCTTCCTCCTGAATACGGTGGGATGAATCCTTTATCATCATCACACATATCCCCCTGTCCCAGTGTTGTCATGAAAGAAGACCGCTGTCTGGCAAAAAGGCGAGTAGACACCATTGCTGTAATTAAAAATAATCAAAAGCACTTGAACCACTGCCATTAAACTAACATTCATAACTGAAAAAATAAAATTAGATTTAATTTATTCTTTCTCTCAAAGCATTGTGACATTTTATTAATTTCAAGTCATTTATAGTTTAAGGTTCATTTAAAACTATTTGCAATATCCAAGGTTAAATAAGATTCTGTTGGAAAGGCAATGAGATACATAGCAATAACATGAGATTTTTATGGCAGTTTGTAGGTTTAGCACAGTGTTTCATAGTTTAATTTTATGGAAGTCTTGGAAGATTTTTTTGTAGTGCAAAATCATTTTTTTCAGAAGGAAAGGATAAAAGTTACCATTTCAGTCATTTAGCAAATTCTTTTTCACTGCCTGATAAAGTAGGGCAGTTGTTTTTTATAGCATACTGTTAGTTCATGAAGAAGAAGCAGTCCGTTCTTTTCATCTGTTTACCAAGCAATGTACTTATTTTTATGTACAAAACATGTACTAGATGTTGTCCCATTCCCTCAAAACAGGGCAGACAGGGCATAAGAAAGTCACAAAGATCAGTCAGCTCAGCATTATTCTCCCAAATCCTGTTTGGTGTGGGAGATGAGGAATTAATGATAATATGTAAAAAGCTAACATATGCTGTCAGTGGAGCAAAGATACTATCCAGGGCAGTGGACATGTGAATAAAGAATCAAATATTCAAAACATCTTAGAGATTAACTTACCTTACAGTATCTTAAAGCCTCCATTAATGTTAAGAAGCCTACAGCTGCTTGTTTATGTATACCAAGAAGTTCTGTTAAAAAAAATTATATTAGTATGTATAAATCAAAAATATATTTATATATAAATACATATATCTCTCCCACACTAATAACTTTTACTTATACTCAAAATACATTGTTAATCAGTCACATCAAATCATTATCACAGTGCTCATTATAAATATCATTAGCTCTGGTTTGTGATGGGGAAATATGATGCTTCAGAAACCCTTTAAATATATTTACAAAATTTTCTAGCAAATGTTAACTTTTTCATGAAGGCAAATTTCCCCTGAAATACAGAAAATTAGTTTGCAAAAATAAAAGGATACTGAATAATATAACAAATGGATATGCTAGATCACAGTGCAATGACCTGCACAATACTTGAAACATGAATAATTGTTACAACCCTTTCTTCTATAAACAAACACAGGCAGTGTGCTTAAGACTGAAGAATCAAGAGGAATGGAAAATGATCACTGCCTCACAGGGTGGGCCTCAGAGTTTATCAAGAAGTACAAATACAAAAGTGTGCAACCCTCTGCACATGTGTGTGCAAGTGTAGTGTACACACACACACAGAGTGATACGGCAACATCTGCTTGAAGAGAATGTACATTTGAGTTGAATCTGATAGCACTTCTAGGAGTATTCCAGACTAAAAATGGGATAAGAAGGAAATCCAAGGCAGTAGGAACAGTTTTAAAAGGCAACCAAATCATGACAATAATCGGTATATTTGAAGGACAAAGAAACTGCCACACCTTCTTTTGAGGTGTGTATCTTGGGAGAGAGAAAATGGGCTTGGTATGAGACATGCAGGGATTGTGGTACCTTTAGACTTGCAGCAAGAGATCAGTATCAGAAAACATAAACTCACTGCCATTGAGTCAATGTCAACTCATAGCAACCCTGTAAGATAGAGGAGAACTGCTCTTGTGAGTTTCCAAGACTGTAATTCTTTAAAGAAGTAGAAAGCTTCATCTTTCTCCTGCACAGCAGCTGGTGGTTTTGAACGGACAACCTTGTAGCCCACAGCATAAACCTCTGTACCACCATGGCTTCAAGAGATGGAAAATAAGTAAAAGTCAGGCTCAGGAGAGTGACTAGAGTTAGATACAGAGATCTGGGAATTAGCTGAATAGAGTTGAGAATTAAAGACACAGATGTGGACAAACCAGAACACAGCAGAGAGAATTAGCAGAGAGAATTAAAAGGAATTGTTTCACAGCAGAGATACGAATAACATGATAATGGAGTCTTCCCATCAACTACAGCCTTCAGCTAACGTGCAATAAATGGAAACCGAATAATGCATTTGGTTTCACAAACATTCTAAAACTAAGTTGTTTTCTGGTTCAAGAGCACACTCCTTGCATTCTGTACACTATCGGCATATTTTGTCAAGGTTGCTATTAAAATATACTTTTCTTATCAATGAATATAATAGAAGTACTTCATCTAGTTTTTCAGTAAACACTTTACTTTTTATACTCAAGTCTAACATTCAGATAATGTAAGCCCAAACCAAGTAGTTAAACTTCTTGGATTTATAAATCTAAAATGGATATAAAGGAAAGCACACATATAGGTTGTATTGTATCAGTAGCTTTTAACAGGCACAGGTAGGGTTAGAGGAAAGGTTCTCAAATTATGGCATGAATTTTAACACCATCTTTAGCCTTCCTCTCTCTTGAATACTACCAGAGCAGATCTGAATGGGTATATTGTTATTTTAAATGAACCGGTAAATATTTTAGATGAATCAGTTTTAAATTCTAAGATGAAACTATTGATCATTGTAACTCTCATAAGCAAAAGCTCTTAGGTAGAGATCTTAAATTAATTAAAAATAAAAAGGCAATGAAGACTGAAATGTCTGAAAATCACTGGATGAAAGAACACAAAGGAGAGAGGAAATAAGAGGAGATGCCCAGCTCAAGTTGGCAGAAATGGGTACTTGCAAATTTACTCCTTTTCCATCTGAAAGGTATGCAGGAGTGGTTATATGCTCAAAGAAGAACCATGCTGAGAAACACATTTTCACAACCTTATTTCGAATTTCAATCACCAGCACACCACCTAGTGTCATGGTTAGATATTACATCACCTACTTCCCTAACATTTTAAAACTTACTTTAAACTTGAATGTGTGCATGGAGATGTACATGTGTGTGCATATAAACACATATACACATGCATATACATAATACATAAATATATACTTAACATATAAGGAGGTTTAAAAAAGTTCATGGAAAAATGGGCTTAAATGATAATGGACTTTTCTATGAAGTTTCTGAAGCCCTTTCATATATATGCATCAAATGACAAAAGCATTGAAAAAAAATAATCGCTATATAAAAATAATAAATGTACAATCCACAAGAAAGTGAAAATGTACAAACAACACTTTATTGAAGACAGAAAGGGAACATAGGAAAACTGATCTATGGGAAAATGAATCAAACAAAAACTTAAGAAGCCCCCTTGTACTACCTAAAAACTAAATAAAAATTTCCCTCGATTACAGCATTACCTTCTATTACTGAAAACACGTGGTTATCAACAACGACAACAAGAACAAAAAAATCAATGGAGAAAATTTGGTCATGAAAGGATTAAAAACAATGTTTCATATCTGTGACTAACTGACTGGGTTGTTCGGCCATTTGTTCATTCTTTGGGGAAAAGTCAAAAGGGACATCATCAATAAACCAGCCTCTGAAAAAATGTAAAGTGCACAAAAGCATTCAGAGAAAATAATAGTCTAATCTGGGGGTGGGAGAAACATAAAACCAACACAATAAAAAATAAAAGTAAATGAAAAGAAACCGAATAAAACAGACGTCATAAAAGATCAAGTGATTTAATCTCCTAAAAATGAAAAGCTTAGGCACAATCAAAGAGACCATTAACAAAGTAAACACAGAAAACACGGGGTGGGGGTGGGGGGAATCCACAGTGCAAATGTCACATGCAGAGATTCAGAAAGGATTTGTAAAAAGCACTGAGGATTTGTGAATAAAAGAAAATCCATTCCCTAGAAATGTCAACAGAATGAGAATAGGCAATTGTCAGAGGAAGAAATAGTAAAATTACACACACACACACACACAC